TATATATATATTTATGTTGAGTTGTGTAATTGTACACTTCGTAATATGTTAAGATGAAAATGTTCTCGAGTGTGTATTATATAATTTCCATACCCAGCGTAAGCAGAAAGATAAAGTAGAAAGCAGAAAGATAAAGTTCGCGGGTTCAAGACCCAGCCGCAGCATAGTTTATCTTTCTGCTTACACTGGGTATGGAAATTTTATTTTATTTTATTTTATTTTATTTTAATATTTTTATATTTTTATATTATTATATTTTATTATTTTTTTTATTTATATATATATATATATATATATATATATATATATATATATATATATATATATATATATATATATATACCGGGTGGCGCAAAAAAAAGTATAACAGTTTGATTACATATAGCTCAAAGACCATAAGCAGTAGAACCCAAAATCGAGTTTCATTGCGCGATGTCTAACTTAAATTTTGGTATATTCGACAGGCATTTTCGTCCAAGATTGACTGAGATATGAGTGTTTAAACTTTTGTTAGCAAATTTGAAACGGTCACAAATTAGCTAAAAACGGCCTATTAAACTGATTTTATAACCGCATCACCATTATAATTTTAAAGGTTTTTTTAACAAACGTAGTCGAAGTGCAAATTGCATCTTCCTTGTAACAGAGATGATTTCTCGTTTTGTTTGCTGTTCGGCAACAGAAAAATTAAGCTGCAAGGCAAGGTTGATTAAAAGTTTCCTTCTAAATTTTAATTCGACGTCCCAAGGGAATTAACTGAATTCTAAAATGCGAATGTCGCCTCGTGTGCTTCTAAGTAATAATTATGCCTCGTTTAACGAAGGACCAAAGAGTTTGGGTTTCTTTGGAATATGGAAGGGTAAATAATGCTTAAGAAGTTAGACGGCGATGGGCCGGTCGTTGGGGTAACGTCCCTGCCCCTACTGTACGAACAGTGCTAAGAACCTTTCAAAAGTTTGTGCGAGAGGGAACATGTCTCAATCTTAACCAAGGAAGAAGTGGTCGACGAAGAACCTCAAGAACGGCAGCAAACATAGAATTAGTTCGACAATCACTATTAGAAAATGGCCAAAGATCATCGAGGCGAAATGGTTTGGGATTGAGCCGTCGCACATTCCAGCGAATTGTTCAATGGATATCAAATTTCATCCATACGTACTGATACGCAGGCAAAAGCTGCGTGAAGGCGATCCAGCACAACGATTAGCTTTTTGCCACCGACTTGTAAATACCGTAGAAGGGAGACCAGATTTTCTTGATTACTTAATAGTATCAGATGAAGCAGTGTTCAGCTTAAATTCTGAAGTAAACACAAGGAACACAAGAATGTATGCGGCTTATGGAAATGGGAACCCGCCTGATCATTATGTGGAATTTCTTCAAGGTTCAAACCAAATCATGGTGTGGGTTGGTTTAACCAGAGCAGGCAATGTCTTAGGTCCGCATTTTGTTGAAAGAAACCTCGATACCAGAGAGTACTTGCGCATCATACGGTATAACGTTATACAGCGAGACTTTCGCACCCAAAATATCAATAGACATGACATGTGGTGGCAGCAAGACGGTGCGTCTTGTCATACCAGCCATGCAACGATGCGATACCTTAGAGGCCAATTTCCTGGGCGAGTGATGAGTAAACGGGGCGATTGGCCTTGGCCACCTCGTTCTCCAGACCTAACAGTATGCGATTTTTTTCTTTGGGGCTACCTAAAACATAAAATTTGGGATGTGCCACATAATGAGCAACCAACCAATTTGGGAGAGCTTCGTGAAGCAATTGTTGCAGCATGCCGAAACCTGGAGCAGCAGATGATTCAAGATGCATTCGATTCTATGATTTCACGGGCAAGACGCTGCATTCTTGGTCGGGGACATGCATTTCCTAACGAATAGACGTTTATTTTACACGATCCGAACATGGAGTATTTGACGGTGCATCTCTTGGTGCAATATATGTCGTTAATGTTGTATTAATATTTTTAAAATATGCTAATTTTTAGCTAATTTGTGACCGTTTCAAAATTGTTAACAAAAGTTTAAACTATTATATCTCAGTTAATCTTGGACGAATATGCCTGTCAAATATACCAAAATTTAAGTTAGATATCGCTGAATGCAATGAAACTCGATTTATGGTTCTACTGCTTATGGTTTCTGAGTTACAAGTAATCAAACAGTTGTACTTTTTTTTGCGCCACCCGGTATATATATATATATTTATATATTTCCTAGATATTTAATGGCAACTCAGACAGAGACACAGTGGTGTGGAACACCTTATACCCACGTGTTTTTACCCGGGTTGTTCGTATTCATCCGAAAATGTGTTATGATAACTGCTCTCTAAGAGCTGAGTTCCTTGGATGTTATAAAGGTAAGTTCAAATTAACTTAAATTAACAAGTTTATTTTGGAACAAATTATCGAAATTGACGAATGACCTTTAACCAAACAAGATAGGAATTCAATTTATTTCAATGATTAATTACGCGATTGACAGTTTGTGTAACATTGTAACTTTTACTTATTAATTGAGATTACGGCCTGACTCGTTGCCAAAACTTGCCGTCGATGTTTAAGATTTCGAGAATTCTGTTAATGACAATTTGAAGAATATATATACATAAATAACAAGTACATGGCTTTCTGTAGGGAATGGGATTCTTCAGACGAAATAAAATAATTTAATTCAATCTAGCTATAGATGAACACACAAACAAAATATTGACAAACTATCTATAATAGGCAATTCCAGCTTTTAGATTGTGCGTGCAGGGGACGATGGGAAGTAAGGTATCACATTGTTGATTATGCTGAAAAAATAAAAATGGTGTTCGTGTAAACACGGAATGATAGCTTATACTTGTAAATATTTAAATATTTCGGTTGTTTCGGTAGTTTTTATTGAAATTTTTCAGCATGATCGGCAATATGAAATTATCAATACAATAACTTCGCGTCACATGTTGAGCCCTAACCCTAACACTAACCCTAATTTATAACAAAAATTATTGTTTAATGATTGTGATTTTGTTGTAATTATTGAATATCATTCGGCAAACCACGGGTATTTGAGTTATACACTATACATTTAATATCAACAACGCGAACAGTAAAACCTTGTGGTAAAACAGGATAAGAAAAGATGGCGTGACCTAAAAGTTCAAAGTATTTTGTCATACGATATTACGTCACATGCAGTTCTATTTTTCGCATACATTAAATTATATTATTATATTATTAATACATTAAATTATATTATAAAGTACAGGTTTGTTGCGAATTTATTGTATTGATAATTTCGGATGAGTTTAATTAACAATTTACTCATATAGTAAGGTGGAGCTCATGTTCCATTATCTTCGAAAGCGGCCATTTTCCTTTTACCGTCGAAAACTATGAGGGCTCCCGGATAACTAACAGTTATTCTGCGAACCCGAGTCGTATATGAACTAAAAGCCGACGAGGTGCGTATAGTACCGAGTTGGCTATCAATCATATACGACGAGAGTGAGTAGAATACCTGTTTTATTATTATGGACAACTACTGCATTTACAGACTCTTCAGTATGGCAATATTTTGACAATTAGTTCGGCAATTCACACAACTTGGCCTAAACCTGAGAAAACACTGCTGTTGATTTTTAAATCAGTTCTTCAAATTGATATTGCTAAAACCTGAAGTTTTTATAATTTCAATATTCTTTTGACAAAGCAAGTGCTTGTTGACCTCACTTCCATATAAATAGTTTTTGTTTTTAAATCAGTTTTGTTAAAAAAAATTATGTTATGATTTCTGTTCATGTTTTCATCTTCGCCTCTTTCGTCATGATTTTTCTCAAAAATATATTTTTTAACCAGTTTAATTTAAATATAAAACAGGTATTCGCATGCTAACCTGTAAACAATTGCAGGAAGTTTTTTTGACTGTTTTTATTGCCATTATTAAGGTTTTAAAAAGCGAATAACTTGCTGTTTTCTCGTTCGCAAAACTCCGGTATTAAATTCTTGCGCCGCCATCCTGTTTTCTCTACTAGCAGGATGAGCTATTATCCTGCCAGTAGAGAGCCAATCAGATTGCAAAATAGCTTACATCCGGTAGGTGTCTATATAATAATGCCTTATATTTCTCGACCATACGCTGCAGAAAATCAAACAATGCGTGGAAATGATTGTAAACTTGCAAGTTTTATTTGAAACTAGCTTTATTGAAAATATGTTACAATATGGCGGCTATGGTGAGTACGCGTGTTTATATAACAGTAGGAGACTGGATCTAGTATTACGTACAGGGAGTTAATATAACCGGGAGTGTGACATCCCCTTTCTTTCTTTTTTTTTTAAAGTTTTTTTCTAATTAAAAATTACTTTAAATAATTGGAATAATGTCTCGGAATAATGTCTACTTGCAGAAAAATAACGTAATGTATATATTGTCAATAAACTACAAGAAAAATGCTTATCTACAAAAAATTAATTTAATGTTCAGTCCCTGCTAATAGATCTGCACCTACGAAATGTTCAGTCTTTCTGGTGGTTTAGAGATCCGTCCTGACCTAGTTACACAGTATGGCTGCAACCTACATAACTGATCTTCAGGTGGTGCACTTTCTTCTCGAGATACTATCATGGGTGGTTCGGTTTCTTGCTTCCGGTTACAGCTCGGCCGAAAAGGTGCGACTGGTCTTAAAAATTGCATAGACTGTGGCTTCGCCTGTTGTTTCTGAATACTGTTCGGTCTTAACTGCGTTCTAGTGCGGCGGTAGATGGATTCTGTTCTGTTATTCTTGACGATGTAAGATCTAGGTTCATTGGCGAGTTTGATGATTGTTCCGGGTTCCCAGGTCTTACTATGGTGGTCGTAGATGTTAACGGGTTCACCTTCGTTGAATGGCTTTAGGATTGGTCCAGCTGTGCGGTTATAGTATAATGCTTGTTGTCCCTGTCGCCGGTGCAACTCATTCTTGGTGATGCTGGTGTCATTATTCACACGAGCCCGCTTCGCCATCGGTAACGTTGTCCTTAACTTGCGGCTGTTCAGCAATTCTGAAGGAGATTTCAACCGGTGACTGACTGGCGAACTACGATAGCAAAGTAGTCCTAAGTAAGGATCGGTTCCATCCTCATCACATTTTTTTAGGATACCTTTCACGGTTTGAACCATACGTTCTGAGGAACCATTGGATTGTGGGTACATAGGTGAACTTGTGGTATGCTCAAATCCATAAACACCAGCAAATTGTTGAAATTCGCGGGATACATATTGCGGTCCATTGTCAGTCACGAGCTTGTCTGGAATGCCATATTCTGCGAAGATGCTATTGAAGTGATTAATGATTGCATGGGATGTAGTGCTAGTGAGCTTTCGGACGATGGGAAATTTGCTATACTCATCTGATAACAACAGATACGAATTACCCTTATACTCAAACAGATCGGCGTTGAGTATCTGTCAAGGGTAACAAGGTGGTTCAGGTTGAAGTAGATCCTGTTTTTGCTGCTTACGCTGATGCTTCTGACATGCATCACAACTTTCAACAACTTTGATTACGTCCTTCGTAATTCCAGGCCAAAATACCGCAGTTCTTGCTCGGAGCAGACATTTCTCTTGTCCTAGATGCCCTTCATGTATTGTTGTAAGGACTTCTTCTCTAAGATTTGGCGGCATAACCATGCGCTCTTGCTTTAGGATGAGGCCATCCTCAATTGTAAGTTCTTCTCTAAAGTTCCAATAATCGTGGAGCAATTGAGGGCACTGTTCTCTCGTGGCTGGCCATCCTTGGTAAACTACCTCGCGTTGTTTATTCAAAACTGGATCGTCTGCAGTCTCATTTCGAATTTGCTGCAGTTTTATAGGAGAAGCTGGAAGGGTGTTAGTAATCTGGTGGATATCTAGTTGTGGAAGTTTACCTTTGAGTGGTACAGCTTGTGGTGATACTCTGGACAGAGCATCAGCGATAGGTACTTGTTCACCTTTCACATACGTCACGGTCACGTCATACTTGAGTGCTCTTAACACGAATCGTTGTAGTCTGGATGGGCAGCTACTCAATTTCTTCCTAAAGATTGTTTCCAAGGACTTGTGGTCGGTGTGCACAATACACTTCTTTCCATACACAAAGTAATGAAATCGTTCGTGCCCCCAAACAACGCCAAGTGCTTCACGCTCAATGTTACTGTACCTTTGCTCAGCTTCTGTGAGAGCCTTAGACGCATAACACACGGGTTGACCTCCTTGTAGAAGCACTGCGCCTAAGCCTTTGAGAGATTCTGCATCAGGGTCGAAATATCGGAGTACGCCCAGCGAAGATACTTCCTTCTTCACTTCATCAAATGCGCGGGTATACTCTGCCCCCCAACAATACGCAACATCTTTCTTGAATAGATCGCGAAGTGGAGATGACAGGGTAGCCAGACTTCCGGAGTACCTTGTTAGATAGCT